CAGGTTACAACCCAGTAAGCCCATCGTGACATTGAAAAATTGTGAATTGAACCACTGTAATTCAGATGCTTCTTGATTTAAGATGGGATTATGTCCTGATAAACCCATTGTAAAGCCAAAACATCTTAAATTGAACCATCCTACGTCAGGGACAGGCTGTAGGTAGTCCAGAATTGAAGTGAATTAGTGGATACCCAGCTGGCATCTGCTGTAGAATTGAGTGCTTACTTGATGTGTGTGGTAAAACCCCCACCCATCTGGTATCAGAAGCGTATTGTGAGAGTGTGGCAGGAGAAACTGAGTTTGTTTATTCCTGTATACACACAGGGCTTCGTGCTGTGTCACTCCATCGCTGGGGGTACGGGTTCTGGCCTGGGCTCCTACCTCCTGGAGCGACTGAATGACAGGCAAGCCTGTGTTTGGGGAGAGGGCATTAACCCTGGTTCCCTGGGTAATATCATTGCTTTTTTTCTTGAGTTAGAAAGTCTGCCATTACCCTTTTGAGTCATAGGGATAGACTCACCCAAGGGCCATGTTGGAAGCTATATTGGGGTGGGGGGATTTACCTAGGGAGAGGAGGGGATCTACAGAGTTTGATGCTTTCAGGCTTCTCCTTTTTGGCTCTGAAGACACAGTCTGCCCTCACCCCTTTTGTACAAAATGGTACAGATGGGCAGTGATGGGGTTCCTTCCAGTTCACTATGCCACCACCCTCTTTTCTCTCAGGTACCCCAAGAAGCTGGTGCAGACTTATTCAGTGTTTCCCTACCAGGATGAGATGAGCGATGTGGTGGTCCAGCCCTACAATTCACTCCTCACACTCAAGAGGCTGACACAGAATGCAGACTGTGTGGTGAGCAAATTAAGAGTTGAGGGGGTGGGTGCGGTGGCTGATGCCTGTAAGTCTAGCACTTTGGGAAGCTGAGGTGGGTGGATCTCTTGAGCTCAGGAGTTCGATACTAGCCTGGGCAACTTGTGAAACCCTATCTCCACAGAAAATACAAATATTAGGGCTGGGTGCAGTGGCTCACGCCTGTAATCCCAGCACTTTGGGAGGTCAAGGTGGGCGGATCACCTGAGGTTGGGAGTTTGAGACCAGCTAGACCAACATGGAGAAACCCCATCTCTACTAAAAATACATAATTAGCCAGGCGTGGTGGTGCATGGCTGTAATCCCAGCTACTCGTGAGGCTGAAGCAGGAGAATTGCTTGAACCTGGAAGCTGGAGGTTTCGTGAGCCGAGACTGCGCCATTGCACTCCAGCCTGGGCAACAAGAGCAAAACTCCATCTCAAAACTAAACAAAACGAAAAGCTGGGCATGGTGGTGTGTGTCTATAGTCCTAGCTACTCAGGAGGCTGAGCTGGGGGGATCGCTCGAGTCCAGGAAGTCGAGGCTGTAGTGAGTTGTGATCACACCACTGCACTCCAGTCTGGGCAACAGAACAAGACCTTGTATTTAAAAAAAAAAAAAAAAAAAAGAGCCTGGCGCAGTGGCTCACACCTGTAATCTTAGCACTTTGAGAGGCTGAGGTGGACAGATCACCTGAGGTCGAGACCAGCCTGACCAACATGGAGAAACCCTGTCTCTACTAAAAATACAAAATTAGCCAGGGGTGGTGGTACATGCTTGTAAGCCCAGCTACTCGGGAGGCTGAGGCAGGATAATCGCTTGAACCCATGAAGCGTAGGTTGCAGTGAGCCAAGATCAAGCCATTGCACTCCAGCCTGGGCAACAAGAACAAAACTCTGTCTGAAGAAAAAGGAAAAAAAAAAAGAGTAGGGATTTTGGTCTATCTTCCCAGGCCAGTGAGTCTCATTCACCCTGCCCTTCCCCAGCCCTCTCCACGCAGAACAGAGGCCCAACAAAGCCATACCTGTGGGCCAAATTAGGAAATAAGGTCCTGATCTCTAAGTTTCTTAGAATCCTCTTAGGCAGCAAGACTCTCAACAAAGTGAATATACCTCCCCCTATCACCACGTACCCCACCTTTGCCTACTTAATGCCCACTCATGCTTGAACCCTCAGCTCAAGGATAACTTTCTTAGCAAAACCTTTCCTGACTACTCAGTCAAGATCAGATTCCTTTGTGTGTATTTCTGGGAGTTAACTATACTTTTCTGTTTTATATTTAGTGCACCTCCCTCCATACTAGACTGTAGGCCTAATGAAGGGAAAGATGGTGCCTGTTCCTCTCTGTGGTCTCCCCAGAGCCAGGCACAGTGTATGGTACATGTGGGTACTCACGTGTTTGTTTACTACCTTGCATGGTCCGAGAGTATCTCATGATGCCCCAGAGACAGTACTTGTGTCTCTTTTTATTTTTTATTTATATTTTTTACGGAGATGGCATCTTGCTGTGTTGCTTAGGCTGGTGTCCAACTCCTGGCCTTGAGTGATCCTGCCACCTTGGCCTCCCAAAGGGCTGAGATGATAGGCGCGAGCCACCATGCCCAGCAGTTTTTGTTTTAAACTAACAAACCTCTTCCTGGCTTTGGAGTTCAGCAGGGGTTAAGCCAATATCTTATTTCTATGCCCATTTTCTCCTCAAGAGGCTGTGACCCTCTGCTGTCCCCGCAGGTGGTGCTGGACAACACAGCCCTGAACCGGATTGCCACAGACCGCCTGCACATCCAGAACCCATCCTTCTCCCAGATCAACCAGCTGGTGGGCCCCCACTGCTGGACTCCTTTGGACTGGAAGCCCTCCTTGCTGGAGGGTCATCTGGGGAAGGGAGGTCCCACTCAGGCCGAGGCCCATGACGTGGCACCCCTGTCCCCAGGTGTCCACCATCATGTCTGCCAGCACCACCACCCTGCGCTACCCCGGCTACATGAACAATGACCTCATCGGCCTCATCGCCTCACTCATCCCCACTCCGCGGCTCCACTTCCTCATGACCGGCTATACCCCACTCACTACGGACCAGTCAGTAAGAGCAGCCTCAGTGTCCCAGGCCAGGCCAGCCCTGGGCCCAGCAGGCCCTGCCCTAGCCTTTCTCTCCTCCCCTCTGCCCCAGGAGCTGCCCTTTGCATGCCCCGAGGCACTGTACTCAGGGACTAGCACAGAGCAGGCCACTTTCTTGTAACTTTCTCTTCATCCTCCCTCTGTCTTTGGCTTCTGCCAAAGAGAAGCCAAAGGGGGACTGTGTCCTGAGCCCTGGCTGGGGCCCCGTTTCACTGTCCATCAGGTGGCCAGCGTGAGGAAGACCACGGTCCTGGATGTCATGAGGCGGCTCCTGCAGCCCAAGAATGTGATGGTGTCCACAGGGCGAGACCGCCAGACCAACCACTGCTACATCGCCATCCTCAACATCATCCAGGGAGAGGTGGACCCCACACAGGTAGGGGAGGCCCCTTCATCCCGCACCCTGGACCCACAGGGGTAGAGGAGAGGCCACTTCCACTGCTCCTGTGCCTACCCCAGGTCCACAAGAGCCTGCAGAGGATCCGGGAACGGAAGTTGGCCAACTTCATCCCATGGGGCCCCGCCAGCATCCAGGTGGCCCTGTCGAGGAAGTCTCCCTACCTGCCCTCGGCCCACCGGGTCAGCGGGCTCATGATGGCCAACCACACCAGCATCTCCTCGGTGAGTCTGGGTTTCTGTTCTTAGGACAGTCTGTTCCACTGGCCACCTTCATCATCTCCCTCAAGTTCGTTCCTAACCCCTGGCTCGCATTTTGGAGATTTTCATCTCTTTCAGCTCTTTGAAAGTTCCTGCCAGCAGTTTGACAAGCTGCGGAAACGGGATGCCTTCCTCGAGCAGTTCCGCAAGGAGGACATGTTCAAGGACAACTTTGACGAGATGGACAGGTCTAGGGAGGTTGTTCAGGAGCTCATTGATGAGTACCATGCCGCCACACAGCCAGACTACATCTCCTGGGGCACCCAGGAGCAGTGATTTCCCTCCCCACTACTCCTGGACGGGAAGCACAGCCTCAACCATGCCTGCACCCTCTGACCCAACTTCACCTCATGGACAACCCTTCTTGGCTTACCTCCAGCCCATGAGCTGGTCCTGCTTCTTCCCTCCATGCCCTGACTCTTGATATGCTGCTTAAGCTCTACTAAAGTAATAAAGCTTGGTTGTCAGTATAGCCAGGGCTTGATCTGTGAATACGGGGGGTGGTCAAGGGGTCCAGTTTCTAGGCATCTGGCATAGGGTGGCCTTCACCTCCTCCAATGTCTTACCCCTTAGTCCAGATTTTAGTGTGTTCACTGTTTCCACTGGCATCCCTCACCTTGAACTGGGCTGTTTTACTAGAGGCAGCAGCCCTTGTGTCAAGATTACAGAGCTTTACTGAGGTCTGCTGTCTCCTCAGTGCCTAAGCTTTTGCCCCAGTGAAGATCAGTGTTGCCCCAGCCTCTTCCACTCAGAGCAGAGGAGGTGGGGTCTACTGAAGGAGGGCACACTGCATTCCCAGCAGGCCAGGAAAGCCAGGACTCTGGAATCCCAGTGCCCAGAGCTATGAGAGTCCCAGGAACTCACTCTAGTTCAACCCAACCTGGTAAGTAGAAGCAGAATTCAAGAGTGGGGCTGAGCACATCCTGAGTTACTTTTCTGTGCCAGAGAAATTCGTGGGTTTGTTATCTGCCCCAAGCTTCTCTCCATTCTAGGCCCAAAGCATTAGGCACACCAATGATGGGCCCAGAGCTGGACACCAGAGTAAGAACTGGGCAGTACCAGATCTGATGACTCACTGCCCTCCAGCCTGAGGGATGCCAGGAGGCCATCCATATGCCACTCAATGGAGAAGGGAGGGTGAGTAACTGTCAGCTTCCAATGAGGACTGTTTGCCTGCTCTACCCACAAGCCTGTGGTAGCATACTGGCCAGGAGGAGGTTAAGTCTTGAAGGTCAGGGATGGGGAGGGTGAAGCACTTTGGTGTCCAGACTTTCCCCAGAGCCTGGTAAAAGCCCAGAGTGTGGGCGTCCCCGGAGGCGGGGCTCTGCATTATGGGGTTCCAACTTGTGCCACTGAATAACACTCCCACAGGAAGGGTTTGTGTAAATAAGAAACTTTTTTTTTTTTTTTTTTGCTTCTCTTCTACAAATAAATTAAGAAACAAACTAGAAAATTGCCCACACCCACTGTACCCCTTGGGTGTAGGATGTGCCCTGTCCCTGCAGGGCCAAAAGGGTCCATGTTTCCCCCAAATCTCAGAGCAGTCCTGGCCCAGGCTGGAGGTCGTGACCTCTTGGCAGGCTCAGTCCTGCAGCTGCCCCAAGCAGCCAGACTGTCCCTGGGGCTCGTCCAGGCCCGGGTGCTGGCTGGGAGGGGAGGTGTCTGGCAGGTCTTGGCATGGAGGAGAAGAGCTGCTGCAGGGCTTCTCGGGGGAGGGGTTGGCCAAGTAGGCATTCACCAGCTGCATGATCTCTTCTACCTAAGAGGGCAGAGGTCAGCGTGCAACAGGAGCCGCCTGGTTCTCTACTTTTTCTCATCCTCTATGTCCCTGCAACTTTTCCTTCCTTATCTCCACTCTCTCCCTCATTTCTGTGTGCCAATCGTACTTGCTTATTTCTGCTCCTCTAACAAGCCAAGTTTACTCTCATCTCAGGGCCTTTGCCTTGCAATTCTTTCTACCTAAAATGCTGTCCCCAGGTCTTCCTTGGCTCGCTTAAATGGCACCCTCTTTGAGAACGCTTCCCTGACTTCCTGTCACATTACTCTTTCCTTTGTAGCATTTCTCACTGTCTTAATAGCCTGGGATTCCTTGTTTATTGTCTGACTCCCCAACTCTAGTGTAAGCTTCTTGAGCTTGCCTGTGATCACTGCTGGATCCCAGTGCTTAGACTCTACCTGGCCCAGGCTTGATGTTCAGTAAATGTTTCCTGACATCCCTTCCTTCTCTCCTCCCACAACCCCTCTTCCTACTCACCTGGGGGCTCTGCAGGACGAGCTGACTCTCCCCCACCCTCAATGCCAGGGTGTGGGGACCCATTAGCTGGCAGGAGGCCACATGGCCATAGCTGACACTGTGGATGGGCTCTGTCTCCCCTGGCCGGGAGAGGGACATGGCCTTGGCTCCCAAGCCCAGGCATAGCTTTTGTGGAGCACCCCCGCCAGGCTCCTGCAGACAGAGGGGGCAGAGTCAGGGTGGAAGGAGGAGACCAGCGTTATTTTGGGGAGGGGGATATGGGTGGCTGTGAGCAGGAGTTTCCTGATCCCCTGTGATTCACAGCACGTGTGTGGAGGGGCTCAGGCTCCGGGGATGTGAGGGCCCAAGGGCTGGTGATTCCTGGGGTTTGAGATGGGCAGCTGTTCTGGATGTGGGGAATGAAGTGACCCTCCATGGGGATCTGTGGCTCTGGGGCAAAGGTGTGGGGCTTGGGCCACCAGAGTCCCCTTCTCCCTTCTCCCCCTCACCGTGCTCAGCTCCAGAACGTCATACCGAGCAGCGCCGAACCCCGGACACTGCGCCGCCAGGGTCAGGTAGGCGGCCATGGCCTCAGCTCGGCCCATGCCCCGTAGCCGCTTCCAGCTGCCCAGCACCGCAGCTGCAGTGCTGGCGCTGCCGCCTCCCTCGCGGGCGGTGGTTCCCGCCAAGCGGCCGGCCCCGCTGCGCCGGGCCCGCTCCGCCCGCCTCTTGGCCAGGCCCGGGCTCCAGAGCGCCCCGGCCAGCAGGGCGGCGGCGGAGGGGGGCGGCCTGGGGGCCTGGCGGGGCGGGTCTTCACGCCGCGGGGCCGGAGGCGGTAGCAGGCGGTCCAGGCGGGGCAGGGGCACTCGCGGGGAGAAGTCCCGGTGCAAGCTCTGCAGGCGTAGCGCCGCCAGGGCGCGCAGCGTGTCGTCGGGCGGGGGCGGCCGGCCCCGCAGCAGCAGAGCGTGAGCCTGCAGGGGAGGCACCCCGCGTCAGTGCACGAGCGGTGGCGGGACCGTCGCGAATACGCCTTGTGGAATCTGAGGAGGTCGAGGTTCCAGTCGAGCCTCCCGCGGGGCTGCCACAGTGATGAAATGAGATGGCCCAAAAAACCAGGGGCTCAGGCTTGGGGGTCTATTTGGAGGCATGAACTCCGGGGAGCCTCACCTGCTCAAAGAGGAAAGGCAGTTCGTGACCGTCTGGGGACAGCCCCTCAGGGTGCAGAGGTCCGTGAAGACGCAGACACAGTCTCCACCCGGAATCGGGGGAGTCCTCCAGCCCAGTTTCCTCCGCTGCCAAGCTGCAGAAGAAGAGCGGGCAATGCTTTGGAGAAGCAGGGCCCCCACTGCGCCGCGGCTGGGGGGGGGGGCGGGGCCTGGGCAGAGCTGACCGCAGAGGTGATGCTAGAGTCGGACTGCAAACCTGCGGCGGACAGGTCCATCCGTAAACCAGCCAACGCCACAGCGCGGGGCCAGGGGCAAGCACTGGCTAACGTCCGCTTAGAGACTGACCAAAGCTGAGAAGTGAATGGGCTAGTAGAGAGCAGGGCTGGGGCTGGACATTTACTTCTCAAACCTGGTGAGCACGTCGGCCACGAGGGTCCCCCCAGCCAGGGCTCGCTCCTGAGCCCCTCGCTGCTCGTACAGCGCGAATGCGTTGCGACTCCGGGCCAAGCCCAGCCGCCCCACCAGCTCTCGAGCCACCTAGAACAGGAGAGTGAGGGGGAAGTAAGACCACTCAGGGATCTTGCCAGGATTATGGGAGGGGCTGATTCAATTGGAAGGGGCCTCTTAGTCCTGTCACCACCACTCCATCCCTTACCAAAATAATCTGACACTCGGGGCAAACCTAGGGCCCAGGAAGCGGGAGAGGCAGGCGTGAGAAGCTGACAAGGTGGGTTGGAGGTCATGGGGCCTTTCTCTGGCCTCACCTCGCCCGCCGTGGTGTGGGAGTCGATGGTCACGGCACAGGCACCAGCCCCCGGACAGTGCACGGTGCATAGCAGCTCCTGCCGTCGGCTCAGCGCGGAAATCTCCGCCAACGAAGGCACCAGCTCGCGGCCACGAGTCCGGCCCAGCGCTTTCCGGATGAAGCGCGCATATTCCGCCAGTTCCGAGTCCGGGAGTGCCTGCTCGGTCCTGGGTTAGGAGGAACCCAGGGATCAATGCTCCAAGGACGTTCCTTCTTCCCCTCCCTCTTGCCTTCTTCTATTATAGTTTATTTTATCTGGCCGATTTCCTCCCTGCCCCAACTCAGGTTCTTCGAAGGCTCTCCTAACACTGTCCCCGGTGCTTTGCATAGAGCTGAATTACTTTCCAGTCCCCTGCAGCTTTCTCCCAACCGCCCCCACCAGTTCCAAAGTCTCCATGAACTTCCTTCTGGCTGAAATCGAAATCCAGCCACTTTACTACACTTTTCTAACCCCTGGCGCTAGCCTGCATCAGCTCGAGGAAAAGCAGCCTTTTCGTAATTCCTCGGCCCAAGGGGGACAGAAAAATTACAATTCTGTTGTAATTCATCTGCTCCCAAGTGAGATAGGATCCTGTATCTCCCACAAAGGCACTGTATGTATTACCAGCAGCCCTGACCTTGGGCAAGTCCTTTCCCTTTTCAGGATCTAGGTTCTTTATCGACCAAACCTTTTGCAAAAGACTTCTCATTCTCTCCCAGCCCAGTAGCTCCTCCACTAAACCGCAATCCCCGCCCCGCCCCTCTCACCTCTCCAAGTGCCCCAGGAGGTGTCCCCGTACAGCTACTCCAGGCCGGAAGGTGCAGCTCATGCAGGTAAGGAGTTGCCAGTACCGCAGGGCCGCAGGGTCTCGGGTAGCCGGGAGCCCGGGGGGGCCTGCAGGGCCCGAGGTCTGCTTAGCCAGCTGCAGGAAGAGTTCATCCCGGAGAGCGGGCAAGTCCCGGCAAGTTTGGAGCACACCCTGCATTAAGGGCCCGGGGCGCCGCGCCCCCTCCAGCGCCTGCAGCGCCAGGAACAGCCGCACCGCCTCCTCGCGCAGGGGTGCATAGCCCGGACCTGTGGGAAGGTGAGGGCGGAGGGACGGTTTGGAGAGGGAACACAGAGCTGCACCCTGGGAGGAAGGCAAGAACCAGGGGAAGGTCAGAGGGAATATAAGGGGATGGGGTGGTAGGTAGGGGAGGGTACGAACGACAGGAAGAGTGAAGGGAAAGCAGTGGTCCCTGCCTCCCGGGAATCCCCTTTCCAATCCCACTAAGCCTGGATTTGGATTTAGGGAAAGGGATGGGAAAGGGGCTATTGGTTCATACCCCAGATTCTGTAACTAGATACTGAGGCTCATCACCATAGGTCAGAAAACAAGCTGGACTAGGAGTTAGAAAACCGGGATTCCTCTCCCAGCACCCTTTAATCCTGTAACTTTAGGATCTGGGACCAGTCACTACACCACTTAGGGAGAAGTACAGTTGGATGAGGCCAGCACATTCGACCAAAGTGGTAGCTCTTCTACCATTCATAAAGGTAATATGACATGGTCTCAAGAGTATAACGGAAAAATAGAAGAGCGTGTGTACAAACTCCTGAAGCAACATCAGCAGTCAGAATGAGACCCATAGAGAAGGTGGTCAAAGGGGGGGACCCTTTTGTGGGTGCTGGCTTCCTCCCCTCCCCCTGGCCAGCTTCCAATTTCATCTTCATTCTTTGAAAAGCAAGGAGCTGGCAGGCCCGTGGAGGATGCTTAGGTCCCTGCCAGTTAAGGGATTCGAATTCTTACCTCTGATCCACCCCATTCCATCCAGGGAGACTTGGACCATGGGACCACTCACCTGGGGCACTGACTCCATAGGGCAGGGGCAGGAGCGGGGCATACAAGGCTCCACTGGTGTGTCTCAGAATTGGGTTCCTCAGGTAAATAAGGGCAACGGCCTCTGGGTCCCCACAACTTTCCTAGGGGCCAGGGAGAGGGTCACTTTGATGGGAAAGGGAGTTCCCCATGAGCCCAGAAAGCTTTGGGGTCCACCACTCTCCTGGCTCTCCCTGGTGTTCTCTCTTACCTGTATGTCCCTGAGCAGTAGCTGGGTGGGGGTCTCCAGGGGTGCCTTGGAGGCAATCACTTCCCGCAATGCCACCCCCCAGCGCTCGGCCTCTGCCTGGCGTGGGGAGCAGAGGTGGACACTGTGCTTCCGGCCAGACACAGTCACTGACCACAGACCTGGGAAAAAGAGAGGCCAGGCCGGGGAGGGCAATTAGGATCTGCGGGGGGGCCCCTGCCTCGGAAGGTAGGAGAGTGTCTCCACGAGGTCTCACCCGTCTCCTTACGCCTGCGCTCTGGACCTGTCACCGAGCACAGGCTGGTGAGCACAAGACTCCCGAGGTGCCGCGCCCCCTTCCCGCTGCTGCTGAACTGATCCAAGGAGTCCCGCGTGAGCACGAACCAGGCTCGGCGTGGTGGTAGCCAGGGCCGTGCCCCTCCTCCGCGGGGCTCCCGGTACAGCCAACCTGGGGGCAGAAGAGGGGAGGGAAGGGACATCAGTAGGAGACATTAACCCCTGGAGGGTTGGGACTGGAGGCCTCCAGAGTGCACTGAGGAGGTCTCTACCTTTCACAACGGTGTCCGGGTCGTCCTCCGGCAGCCCTTTCTCTGGGATGAGGCTCCAAGTTTCCTCCCAGCTCTGCAGCCTGGGCCAGAGGGGAGGGAGGGTTGGGCTTCCACTCGGCCTCTAGGGGGCTCCTCAGTAGGGGCTCCCCAGACAGCAATGGTATCTGCTCCCAAGCTGGGCACCCCTCCCCCAGGCTGTGGGAACCATCGGGCCATTCTGACCTTGCACCAGAAATAGCCCCGACCCCCGCCTTTCTCCCCGCGCCCCCAGCCGGACCGCCCCCCGGGACCCCAGCCAAACCACAGCGTCCGGCGTAGGGCCTCTCCCTTATTGCACAACGGAGAGGGAAGACAGCGAGGACGGAGGTTCACGGAACAGGCTGGGGTCTCGAGACTATGGGACGTAGGGGCGTAGCTCACCTGTGGGAGACTGGCCCGCTCCTCACTGGCTGAGTCAGTGTCACTTCCAGGGGACCCTGGGGAGACAGGCGGGGAAGCCCTCAGGAACAGAGCCCTTCCTGCGCAAGGTTTGGGCCTTCTGCCTTCAGGACAGGGCTGCTCAGGGGATTGAAGAAAGCGTCACAGAGTGGAGTCGTGACTGGGGTGGAGCGTTCTGGAGCCTCTGGGCTTTCCCCTCCGCGATCTCAACACGACAAGCTCTCCAGAACAGCAGGAGCTAAGGAGCCAAGGCTCCCTCTATTACCCTTTTGAAGATACCATTAAGGGTAGGGTAGGGTGGAAAGAGCACTGGGCAGAGAGTCAGGAGATCTGGGTTCTAATTCCCGCCCCACCACGAACTCACTGTGGAACCTTGGGCAAGTCTCGGGGCCTTAGTTTCCCCAACACTGAAACTGGAGAGAAGAGCTCACTCTGCCAGGCTCCAAGGCACCCTCTCCTCCTCGTTTTCCCTTCTCCCACACTGCCTCCCTGGCCAGGGCAGGGCAGGGCAGGTGGTAGGCACAGAGGGGAAGGGCAGAGGAACCCTTTCGGGATAGAGCTTTCTCCAAAAGCGTCTTGCATTCTCCCATAGGCACTCCTGAGACTCGGCACTGAGCAGAGACCCGGCTCCTTTGCTGGAGCTTAGGAAGGGTGGGCCAGGCTGAGGAATGGCACAACCTCCTAAGGCAGGTGTAGATCAGGGTTTTGTCCTCTCCCTCCCCCTCCTCCTCCCTTCCCCCTGTCCTGGAACTTCAACTGTAGACTGGGGTCTGAGAAAGGCCACAAACCCAAGCCGGAGGCCAGCCAGGCGGGAACCCTGCCATCCTCATATTGCGCCCAGACTGCTAGAACCAGGAGGAGGAGGTGGGGGAGGGGGCCAGGGACACCTGTCCCCAGGCTCCGGGAAGGGGGGAGTGGAGGTGGAGCGTGAGAGCGGCAATGGCCTGATAAAGCCGACCCTGCCCAGGCCGGGAGCTTGGGGACGCCTGGGTCCTGTGCCTTTTCCCACCTGAAGCTCCACCTATTTTCTGGAGGGTCTGAGTGGGGCCGTCAGCCACACCACATGGGGCAGGTACTGACCACCCTCTTAGACCAACTCCCCTAATCCCAGTGCCCTGCTTTCCTCCCTCCCCTCCTCTATATTTATCCACCCTCCGCCTCCGCCAGGTGCTGGCGCCGGCCCCGCGGGCAGCCGGCCCCACCCGGGCACCAAGCCACTGGGCCTGCCAGGGACCCCTGCGGGGAGGATGGGGGCCTGACCCGGGCCACAGCACACGGGAGTCTGGCCGCCAGTGTGCAGGGGGGATGGGAGAGGAGACGTCAGGGCATGGAGATCTCCACACCAATTGTGCCTCCGTTTCCCCACGGGGAGATTCGACAAAACCAGGCAGCAACCAAGTGTCCCTCCCCATCCATCCATCCCTCAGGGGGTTCCCAGGAGCCTCACCGGGGAAAGCCGAGAGTTCTGCCTTGAGTGGCAGGGTAATGAGGAGGGGTCCTCAAAGAGCCCCCAGCTCCCTCGCCGTGGGGTCCCCGCCACGGACCGCAATCCCGGGATGACTTCTCCCCTTCGCCCAGTTCTCGGCAGCGGGAGCTCTCGCATCTGGCTTCGGAGCTCGAGAACTGGGAGCTGAGGGGGACCCAGGCGTTCCAGCCGCCCAGCCGGCCTCGCCACATTCCTCGGCGCTGGCGGAGGCGGAAGGAGACGGGATGGGACGCGGGCCCAGCGGGGAAGGGAGAGGCAGGGCCAGGTCGGGCCACGCGTGACGCCTCCCCTGCCTCAGGGCCCCCAGCAGGTGGACAGCGCCCAGCCTGCGGCGGGAGGCCCAAAGGCATATCCCGAGTAGAGCTGCTGCTCCAAGAGCTCCCGGGGGCTTTGGCCCCCAGGCAAAAACCTCCCCCACTTCCCTAGTTCGCCAAGCGCGCAGCGTGTGGCTAGAGGCTGGAGCGGATCAGCGTGACGGCCGGTTACAGCGAGCGTGATTGAGACGCGGCTCCGAACCCGGGACTTACCCTCCCGCCGCCCGCTGGACTCGGGGTCCGTAGCTCAAAGGTTTCCTCGTCCTCGTCCTCGTCCCCGTCCCCGCTAAGCTCGCCGTCCCCGTAGTCCCGGTGCAGAAGAGTGAAGCCTCGACGGCAGCAGAGAAGCCACCACAATCCCCCGGGAAGAGGCATCCGGAAGAGGAGCCGGGGGATGGGGGCGCGGGCAGCCGCGGCCGAGCAGCAGGGGGTCGGAGGAACTGGCGGGGCTCCGACCCAAGCAGGGGAAATATGAGGTGGGAGGAGCAGGAGGGAGAAAGGGACAGGGAGGAGGCAGTGTCCTGGGCTGGGGTGCAAGGGGACGCTAGCCAGACGCTGAGGGGGGCTCGGTGTCTGGGCCCCCGGAGGGGGGAGGGGGAAAAGCGTCCAGGGCCCGGGGAGAGGAGGGAGCAATGTCCGGAGCTGGGAAGTAGTGTCCGTTGGAGCGTCCAGCCCTGTGGGGGGCAGTGTCCGGTGCAGCGTCCGAGGTGGGCAGTTGTCCAAGCTCCAGGGAGGGTCGTGTCCGGTAGGGCGTCCGGTGGCCGGGGCCCGGGCCGCGCGCGCTGCGCTCCCTGCAGCCCCGGGACTGGCGCGCTGGGGGCGAGAGCGCAGAGCTGGGACCCCGCCCCCCCGGCCCCCTCCCTCCCGGGAACCCCCCCCTTCTATCTTCTTTCTCTCCTCCCTTCTTTACTAGGCAGGGTCCTGGTTTCGTCACAGCCTCCTCTGTCCAATCCCTGTGCCTGGCGCGGGGCGCGGCTACCAATCAGAAGGCTGAAACCGCGGCGGGTTGCATCATGTGCCCCTGGCTCCGTGACAGCGGGGAGGGGCGGGGAAATAGGGAGGGAGGGGACGAGGCGATGTTAGCCACGCCCCAGTCTCTGAGGTCGGACGCGGGGTGCTAGTGACATCACGGAAGCCCGCCTTCAGGCTCTTGTTTTAACTCTTGGCTCACCAACCAACAAATTAAAAACCCTGTTAAAGAGCTTTGGCACAGGGCAGAGGAAAACCCAACTGCCGCTCTCTAAACCCCTCTCTCGTCTCAGGATCCCGAGAAAGGGAAAAGCCTTGGCTACTGAAAGGATGTCCAGACCTTCGAGGACACAGCTCTAGACGTGGCCCGACAGGTCTGGAGTGAAGGAGTCCAGTTTCTCCGTGTGATTCAGCTCTCCCTCACCACCACCACCCTTTTTTTTATTCTTCTCGCCCAGGTCGGGGTGCGGTGGAGCCATCATGACTCACTACAGCCTCGAACTTCTGGGCTCAAGGGATCCTCCCACCTCAGCCTCTCCGGAAGCTAGGGACTATAGGCACACACCACCATGCCTGGCTAATTTTTTAAATTTATTTTTTTGTAGAAATAGAGTCTCACTATGTTGCCCAGGCTGGTCTCGAACTCCTGGGCTCACGCTATCCTGCCACCTTGGATTCCCAAAGTGCTGGGATTACAGGTGTGTGCCACCGCACTCCTCCTCACCTCCTTTTTGAGGTGAAGGAGCTGAGGCAGGGACTCTGGGAAGGCGCAGACCTAAGCCGGAAATAAAATCACCGAACTCCGCTCGGGAGAGTGGCTTAGGATTCTAAGGAATTCTGTGGTCTCCGAATAGAGTGGAGGCCTCTTAGGGCGAATATTCTGCGGTTCTGTGTAGGAAGGGGTTAACCCAGGCGCTAGACGGCCGGGGCGGGGCCGCGGCCTCCGCGGGCGCGCGCGCGCGCGTTGCTGACTCAGCGGCGATTCCCGAGGTCTCCGATGCAGGGTTCTAGGTCGGTCCCCAGTGGCTGACGTGCGGCACCCATTGAGGATCGGCGCCGTCTCCTGGCCTTCCCTGGATCCTGGCCCCTAGAGGCCGTGGCTTCTCGCCGCTGCCGCCCGAGGCCGTGAGATGGACGGCTAGCCCTTGCTGGGCTGGGCTGGACTGGGCGGGGCGGGGCGGGGCGGGGCAGGGCAGGGCAGGGCGCGGAGGGCGGGGAGGGCGGGGCCGTCAGGCCAGCACCTCCCTTGAGACCGCCTCGCCACGCCACGCCCATCTCGCCCCTAGACTCCAGGCTGGATCGGTGGGGACAGCTTTGCTGACCAATATTAAAACGCGAGAATTGTCGCACGTGAACACCATCCTGCCCATTGTGATTGTGTAAAACAAAGGCCAGGAATCCATGCGAGCGGGTCTGGAGGCCATCTCGGCCGTGCCCTCTCTCCAGATGAGAGTGGCCTGTACGGAGAGATTTCCTAGGAATGGAGATACCACAACCATCTTCCCGCTCTGGATCCCAGACCCTTGCCTGCAGAGAAGTTTTTTTCCCATATCCAACCTCCCTCTTTCCGGCCAGCTCAGTGCATTTCCTCTGACCCAGTCCCCAGAGAAGATGGAGAACAGCAAGTATCCCTTACCCCCACCACACCCATGACAACTACTCTGGAAATTTGCAGCTTGCAATCCCCCCTCCACACACACGGGTTTTTCTCCAAGGTGAAAACTTCAACTCAACTTCTAAAATTCATTTTTTTCTTTCCATCACAGACAGTAGGAAGGGATTGTAAAGTGATAATGTAACCCAAACCCCACCCCAAAAGGGAATCTCCAGTCCCTACTCTCACCCCCACACCACGCAAAGGCACACGACATCCCCGACAGGTTGAACATGCCAGTAGCGGGAACTCCGTATTCGCTAAGGCAGCCATTACTGAAGAGCGCTCTGGTTGTTAGAAAGCTCTTCCTTACAGTATTGCAAGAGGAACCCCTGCCCCTCCTTGCCTGGCAGCTTTCCCACCTCACCTCTGTTGACTGAGGCCGGGTGACAGTGGAGGAGATGTCAGTGGCTAGAGCTTTAGCAGACTCAGCAGCCCCCCACTCCCACCCAAGCCCTCAGCGCCTTCCACTTGGAGAGCCAAGCCCGCGGGGTGGGGGTGGGGGATAGAGCGGGGTGGGTGGGGGCGGGGTGATAACCCACCGGCTCTGCCCTGCGACAAATCACTTCCAAGTCGGTGACTCAGAAATAGTAACAGTTGTTGGGTTGCGTCTCATTTCCATATTATCAATTTAATGTGAAAAGGCACAGAGGTAGTCCCTTCAGGTCCCCGTCTCTTTCTCAGCGTTCGCCCACCTACTCCCCTTTCCCACGACCCTCAGCCTGCCCCCTCCTCTGGATTGGCAGCCCTAGTTGTCCCAGGAGAGACTGTGGGTCTCCGTGGGAGCTGAGCAGGAAGAAAGGCGGGGCCCGCGGGGGCAGCCGCGGCGGGGATGAGGCCGTGAGCTGCAGCCCCCACCCCGTAGCAGCCTCCGCAGGTCCTGGCGGAAGCGCAGGCCCAGGAAGGCGTAGAGCACGGGATTGAGGCCGCAGCGGGCGAGGGCCAAGCCGCTGGTCACCAGCAGTGCCAGATCCTTGCGCTTGCTGGCAGGGCAGCTCTGCTCGCGCGCAGCCAGTAGATCGGCCGTATCCAGCAGCAGGGCGAGGCTGTAGGGCAGCTGCAGCACCACGAAGGCCGCCACCAGGGCCACCACGACGCGCAGCGCACGCCGGCGCTCCGGCCCCCTGGCGGCCAGCAGCGTGCGGCCCAGGAGCGTGTAGCAGGCCACCATGACGCCCAGCGGCAGCGCGAAGCCCAGGACCACCTGCGCCACGGCGCTCGCCCCCTTCACCGTCTGTGTGAGGCCCTCGGGGAAGACGAGGCGACAGCGTCGTTGGCCTTCCCGCTGCCCGTCCCGGCTGAAGAGGAGCGCAGGCAGCGCCAGGAGCAGCGACAGCAGCCACACGGTGACTGAGACCAAGTGTTTGCGGCCGGGAGTGGAGGGCCGCGGCCCTCCTGGGAGCGCTCGCGCGATGGCCACGTATCGGTCGGCGCTGATACAGGCCAGGAAGAGGAAGCCGGCGTGGAAGGAAGCCGAGTAGAGGCCAGAGATGGTGCGGCAGGTGGCACTTCCCAGACTCCAGCCCTGAAGAGCCCCTGCTGCCGCGAAGGGCAGGGTCAGGGCCAGCAGGAGGTCGGCCAGGGCCAGCTGGAACAGGTGGGCGGAGGTGGGCGAGCCCGCTGCGCGTCGGGCTGCCAGATGGGTGGCCAGGACCAGGCCATTGCCGGCCAGACCCAGCGTAGCCACAGTCAGGGAGACACTGGGTTGGAAGACCCGGCTGAAGGCCTGGACATCGGCCTTGTAGCAAAGCTCCGGCAGCGGCTCCGCCGAGTATGCCTCCTCTTCATCCCCAGAGTAGAGGTCCCAGGAAACCTGGGAAGGTCAGAAGAGAGGCGGGATCTTATGACACACATCTCACCCCACGGCTTCCCCTCCCACACATGCCTTCCAAGCTGAGAGCTCCTGTGTGGCCAGATGTAACAGTATACAGGGAGAAGACATAAACTCTTCTGCAGACTCTTCCTAGCACCCCTTCAGCAGGCCTTGGTTTCCCTTGCACCCCTCCTACCTCTGCTTCCAGCTTCCTGGGTGACCTTGAGCAAGCCACTTCCTCTTTCTGGACCTCAGTTACCTAACATGTAATTTGAGATTATTATAAATCCTGACCAGCCCACTTCTCAATGTTGCTGTGAAGATAGCAATATGGAAGATAATCGATGAGAAAAACCTGTGTTCTCCAAAGACCATAACACAAAGTTTGTATTATTATTTTTGGAGACAGAGTCTTGCTCTGTCGACCAGGTTGGAGTGCAGTGGTGTGATTTCGGCTCTCTGCAACCTTTGCCTCCCGGGTTCAAACGATTCTCCTGCCTCAGCCTCCTGAGTAGTTGCGACTACAGGTGTGCACCACCACACCCACCTAATTTTTGTATTTTTAGTAGAGACGGGGTTTCACCATGTTGGTCAGGATGGTCTCAAACTCCTGACCTCAGGTGATCCTCCTGCTTCTGGAGTGCTGGGATTACAGGTGTGAGACACCACGCCCAGCCCAAAGTTTGTATTATTAGTAAATCCTAGAGCTTCAGTTCCCTTTGCAGCGCCCTCTCCTGGAAGGATGCCCATATGCAGGCTTTGCCTCAGACCTGAGCCCTGGACTCTAACCTCCGCCTGGAGTGGGTTGGTTTTTGTTTGTCTTCTTTCTCTTCCCTACCCACCTTCCCTCTACCTCCAATACCAGCACACCGAACCACTCATGCCAAGGGGGTATCCAGGGTTGGGGCTCAGGTTTTCAGGGCCCAGGTGGGACCCAGGACCTCTAGCTTCAACCCACCTTTCCCTTCAGCCCCAGTCCCTGTCCCACGACCCCTAGCCTCACACCACCAGCCCCATCTATCTGGAGGACCCGTAGTTTGAGATAACGCCAAGAATTCTGAATAGGCCATAGGATGGCAAAGGCCTATTGCCAGGTGGGGAGTCCCATCCCTTCCCTGTTTCCTCCCACTCTGTAACCCTTCTCCCCCTCCCTGCCCCCACTCCCACCTGCTCTGTGGCCTCCGTCCCCATCTCTGGCTACACGGGTTTCTGAGGTGTAGCCACAGAGGGTAGAAGTTAAACTTCTAGCAGGACAGGAAGGAAGGGGCGGGGAGAGGGGCCAAGAGGGAGGTGGAGATTAGGGTCTGTCGGCTCACTTTCCCATTCCACCTCCTCCAAAAGACTTTACTCTGTTGTGCAGGATCTGGAATTTATGGGAAAAGGGAGAGAGAGAGAGAGAGAGAGAGAGAGAGAGAGAGAGA